TTTTTATTGGCACTGCTTTCAATTTATAATGCAATTTCACTTTGGGGAAATGGGTAGTAAGTCAAACCTATCCTAGAAAAGGGGAGGTCTTTCCAATTTCTTTAAGTTTACTTTGAGCTCTTTCAGTGTGTGTTAAAGTTTTCCTCATGTAGATTTTGCACATATCTTAAGTTTATTCCTAAGTAATTTAATCTTCTGTGTCATTGTAAAGGGGGGTTTCCCTACCATTATATCCTCTACCTAATTAGTGTTTTGGTGTAGAAAGGCAACTGACTTCTGTATATTAATTTTATTTTTTATTTATGTATTTTTAAATTTTTATTTATTTATTTATTATTTTTGGCTGTGTTGGGTCTTCGTTTCTGTGCAAGGGCTTTCTCTAGTTGCAGCGAGCGGGGGCCACTCTTCATCGCGGTGCGCAGGCCTCTCACTGTCGCAGCCTCTCTTGTTGCAGAGCACAGGCTCCAGACGCGCAGGCTCAGTAACTGTGGCTCACGGGCCCAGCCGCTCCGCGGCATGTGGGATCTTCCCAGACCGGGGCACAAACCCGTGTCCCCTGCATCGGCAGGCAGACTCTCAACCACTGTGCCACCAGGGAAGCCCTGTATATTAATTTTATATTCGACCACCTCATGCAATTCTAGGTTATGCCGTTATATCATCTGAAAATGGAAATAGTTTTACTTTACCAATTATTGTGCTGCTGACTTCTTTATCATGTCTAATCGTCTATGCTAATACCTCTAGGACAATCTTGAGTACTACTGGAGATGCAGTGGGCATCCTGCCTTGTTCCTGCTCTTAGAGGAAATGCCTTTAGTGTTTCCTGATTTAGACGCTGGTTATAGAACTAAGATGACTAAGGTACATACATATACACACACATAAATGCATACATACATACATATATACATATGTGTACATATATTCACATTGAGAATGTATCTGTCAATTTCTCTTTGCTTGCATTTTTTAAAAAAAAATTATTTAATTTATTTATTTTTGGCTGTGTTGGGTCTTCGTTGCTGCACGTGGGCTTTCTCTAGTTGTGGCGAGCGGGGGCTACTCTTTGTTGTGGTGCACAGGCTTCTCATTGCAGTAGCTTCTCTTGTTGTGGGGCACAGGCTCTAGGTGCGCGGGCTTCAGTAGTTGTGGCACATGGGCTCAGTAGTTGTGGCTCACGGGCTCTAGAGCGCAGGCTCAGTAGTTGTGGTGCACGGACTTAGCTGCTATGTGGCATGTGGGATCTTCCTGGACCAGGGCTCAAACCCGTGTCCCCTGGGTTGGCAGGCGGATTCTTAACCACTGCGCCACCAGGGAAACCCTGCTTGTGTGTTTTTAAAAACAGGTATGGGTGTTGAATTTTGTCAGGATCTTTGTAACTATTCATATGATTTAATTTTTCCCTTAAGTCTACTAGTATTGTATATGATATTAATGGATTTCCTAATATTGAACAAACCTTGCATTCCTAGAATAAATCCCACTTGATCATAGGGAGATTTGGTGTGTCCAGTCACTATTTAGGAGTCCTGGGCCTGGTTCCAGCTTCTGTCCTGCTTCAGTGTATCCCGGGAAGTGGGGTTCCTTTAGCCACCAAGGAAGCAGTGGGCTGCAAGTCCTTGTGTGGGAATGCAGACCAAGTCACAATTTAGAACTTTTAAATATTGATACATATGATGGGTGTGTCTTGCGCTAGTACTCTTGCGCTAGTCCCTGCAAATGTTAGGTGTGGCCTGTCCAGGAGTGCACGTTATAGTACTAGGACACCCTGAATAATAAACACAATTGTTCATTGTTTAAATGTAATTAAATGATCTACTTGGGGGACACACAGCTTACTCTCTAGCTTGGTCTTTTGATTTGTAAAGCAATTCCTTCTGTTGATTGCTTTCAAATAAGGAACTGCTATTTTCCTTCATAGGAACCAGGACAAAATGTTTGTTCTTTTAACATCAGAATTAATTTATAACCTCCATCTTTTCTTTGCATACATTATATTCTACTTAATGCCTTATTGTATTTAGGACTGTCTATTTCCCCCTTTAAATTTACTGGTAATCATCCTTCTAGTACCTATGCTGAAATGACCATAAGACAAATCATAACAATAACTGTTGCATTCACTAGACTGTCTTTCCCCAGGGCTGAGGAGTTAAGGGTCTGATATAAGGTAGGAGCTTAATAAGATTTGCTAAAGGAATAAATGTGTGAATGAATGAGTGAATGGTACATTCTGAAAAAATAGTAATCACTCTTATAATGATAGAATTAATGTACAGTGAGCACTGAGTACCAACAGAGTTTTCCACTACACTGTTTAATGCCCACAGCAGTCCTGTGTGTGTAGCATCACTATTATTATGCCCCCATTTTCCACATGTAGATACTGAAGTTAAGTAACTTTTGCCGGAGGTCAAGCAGCTACTAGGAGACAGTGCCGCTGTTTGAATGCCTGTAAGACACACCAGCTACACTTGCATAATTTGTATCCCTTTTAAGGACACCTGGAAGAACTTTTAGGCAGAAAGAGTTTCACAGACACCATAATTTGCAGTTCTTATGACTGGTCCTTAGATTTTCTCACTAGACCAGATGCCCAGTGTGCCCAGGGCAAGACCTCCTTCTGTCTTCTGCTGAGTGGGTTCCACCTGTGCTGCTGATGTGCTCGAAACGTTGCCAGTGGAGAACAGGGAGGGTAGCATTTTCCTTTCAAGTAGTTGCTATATGAAAGAACTGTCAAATACAGATGCTGGCAGTAAGCATTCCTGTCCCCCTCCACACCCTGGTTATGACACTGGAGGGGGCCTGGAGTCCGTGGTACCCCACTGAGCTTGGTCCCCTGGAAAAAGTATACCATTTCCTCGCAGACTTTGTGGCATGTCCCAACTGGCCATGTTGGTAGATTTCTCTAGGACTTTTGCATGTTCCCCAAAATGACATCACCTTCTCGAAAAGTGTCCTTCGGTCATCAGCCTTATTGCTTTTTCTCCCTTCTCGGAGCTTTACTCGATGCTTGACCACTTCCTAAGCACAAAATGGATTTATTTTCCTCTGTCTTCCCAGATCCCCAAGGTATGCAGTGATCGATCTAAATTTGGCTTGAAGCCAATTCCATACTTTCTTTGTTAACAGAGGATCACATTACAAATTGATCATCACACTTATCTTGATAATCCATGACGTTGGGTTTCTAGGAGCCTCCAAATTAGAAGAAATATGTAGACTAGAAATCCTCCCTTGGGACTATACTGTTAGGTTGACTCATTTGATCTTACTGTTTTTGTAGGTCAAAAATGGTCAAAGATCTCCAATTTCATGTGGCTGAACTTAATATCTGGGAAGTCCTTCAGGGGTCTCTGCTTAATGGTACAGGTTGCATACCCAGGTCCAGGCTTCCTGCAGATCGTAGATGCCTCTGTAAGGGTATCACTTCTCTCCATCCACAATTCTTGCACCAAAGCAGAGGTAGCTGATTAAAATCCTCATGTTCACATGGACACAAGTGAATGTTTCCTTTTTGTTCAAACTGTCTTCCTTGGAATTTTATTCCTACTGTGGTTTTAAAATATCTCCACAAATTCTTTGATACCCCTCCCTTTGAAAGATGGAGCTTCATCCCTGTCCCCTTGACTGTGGGCCGGACTTGGTGATTTGCTTCTAATGAATAGAATATGGCAGAAGTGATGATGTGCCACTTCATAGATTAGGTCGTAAAAGACCTTATGGTTTCCCGCTGGCTGTCTCTTTGGTTAATTGCTCACTCAGAGGAAAGTCAGCTGCCATGTGAGGACACTCCAGCAGTCCTAAGGGGAGGCCCCTGTAATGGGGAACTGAGCCCTCCTGCCTACAGCCAATGAGGAGGTGAGGCCTTCTGCCAACAGCTTGTGAGCCATCTAGGAAGCAGACCCTCCAGTGCCTTTCAGCCTTCAAACTACTGCAATCTTGGCCAACCAGACAGGCCTAGCTGGTGGTTCTGGCTCAGAGTCTTTCATGAGGTTGCAGTCAAGATTCTTGAAGATTCCTTCTCTTACTCAAGACCAGCTGTCGCTCTCCTTCTCTGTGGTAGGCACTGTGCCAGGAACTGGAGAGCTAAATGGGGCATTCTTGTCTTCCAAGAGCTCACAGCTAGTAAGAGAGTCAGTCTCATTAATAATCATTGGACATAAACATGCTAAAATTGAAAGTATGTTAAAAGTGCTTTAGGTTATACTTGCACGGAGCTTTGGGAGATTAAAAGAGAGGCAGGTCTGCTTGATAAGGTGTTTTGAGAAGGTGAACAAAGAAGAGGCCTGAGGAGGCCCTGCATGCAGTGGTGAAGGTGACACCCCACAAGAAAAGGAGGCCGACCAGGCCCCTCTTCAGATACCAGGAGCTGCTCTGAGGCTACTCTGTGGGGACCAGGAAATCCCAGACCACCCTGTCTGTACCTCTTCCTTAGCAGTAGTGACCTTTCAAAAAACCAGAATTAATGGTAAGAAAGGCAGAGGGCCGGCTAGGAAGAGGGGTGAGGAAATTATCCTCTTTAGAAGTGAAGTGTCTTGGAAAAAGGGTGCCCAGGCCTGTGGAGAGTTCAAGGTCATAATGATCATAGCTCCACTGAAGGGAATCTAGTCCTCAGTTAACAGTGTAGCAATAAAGTGCTGTTAACATATAACCAAAGGTGCATTTCAACGCTAGAGTCTCCTGAGAGCAAAACAAACAAACAACACCCAAAGAAATTATGAAGATGTAAAACTTCGACTTCTCCTTGAGCACAAAGCCAAAATTTCTTGGTTCTGGGCTCATTGAAGACGACTTTACCAGGCCCAGGGTGTTACTGGTTGGCAGCTTGGATTGAGTCCGCATCATGGAAATGAGTGGGGGATTTGCTTCTTGTACTTGCTCTTGTTATGGACTGCTACTTTCTCGTAGTTAGTGGCTTTCTAAAGTTGAAATAAAGCTTGGAAACTGACGGTATTTGGCAAAACTTGGTAATTGTGCTTATTTTTTTCCCACAGAAAATAATCCAACAAATGACCAAAATCACAACCCACCACATGTGAAAAACATCTTCCAAACGCTCCAAAGATCTTTAGGTAAATGAGAACTTATGACCATATTGATGATAAGTATACATAGTGACTCCTGATTCTAGTTTTTGTTTTTGTGCTACAGAGACAAGGAATGTAAAAATTTGCGTTCAAGTGGCAAGTCTATCTTTTTTAAAAAACTCTATGAAAGAGCAAGGCAAACACAACCCCTTAGTAGATTAACTCTATGTTATCCAGGGTTTTCTGCCTGTGGTTGTTAATTCCTTGACCCTGATTTGACAAGCTGGCACTTCCAAAGTCAAGTAATTATGAGTCATTTTAAGCTGAGAGTTTTCTCTCTTTTTCTAAGACAAGTTGAATAAAAAATAAATTTATTTCTTTTTCCAGAAATGTGAGGCTGTTATCACATACTTCCTAGACAGATTCACCCCAAAGCTGCAGAATTAGCTGCAGATTTTCCACCCTGTCTGTTTCTACTAAGCCATTCTGTGGCCCCTCTACCAATAAATGAATATTTCAGTGTATTTAATCTTCTGTATTGCCCTTGAAATTCAAGAAACATTCTTTTTAAAATTGAAGTATAATTGACTTAAAATATGATATTAGTTTCAGGTGTACAACCTAGTGGTTCAATATTTTTATACATTACAAAATGATCACCATAGTAAGTTTAGTTACTATCTGTCGCCATACAAAGTTATTACAATATTATTGACTATATTCCCTATGCAGTACATTACGTACCCGTGACATATTTATTTTATAACTAGAAGTTTGTTCCTCTTAATCTCCCTCATCTATTTCACTCATCCTCCCATGCCTCCTCCCCTCAGGCAACCACCAATTTGTTCTCTGTATTTATGAGTCTGTTTCTGTTTTGTTATGTTTCTTCATTTGCTTCATTTTTTAGATTCCACATGTAAGTAAAATCATACAGTATTTGTCTTTCTCTGTCTGACTTATTTCACTTAGCCTAATGCTCTCTAGGTCCATCCATATAATCAAAAATGGCAAGATTTCATTCTTTTTTATGGCTGAGTAAGACTCCATTTTGTGTGTGTGTGTGTGTGTGTGTGTGTGTGTCTGTGTATAAAATATATGTATGACATCTTCTTTATCCATTCCTCTATTTTGTTCTTATTTTTTATTTTGGCCGCACCCCACAGCATGTGGGATCTTAGTTCTCCGACCAGGGACCAAACCTGCACCTCCTGCATTGGAAGCGCAGAGTCTTAATCACTGGACCACCAGGGAAGTCCCATTCCTCTATTGATGGACATTTCTGTTGCTTCCATATCTTGGCTATTGTAAATAATGCTGCAGTGAACATAGGGGTGCATATATCTTTTCAAATTAGTGTTGCTGTTTTCTTTGGAGAAATATCCAGAAGTGGAATTGCTGTATCATATGATCGTTCCATTCTAAATTTTTTGAGGAACCTCCATACTGTTTCCATAGTGGCTGCACCAATTTACATTTCCACCAACAGTGTTCAAGGGTTCCCTTTTCTCCATAGCCCTGCCAACAGTTGTTATCTCTTGTCTTTTTGGTAATAGCCATTCTGACAGATGTGAGGTGATATCATGGCTTTGATTTTCATTTCCCTGATGTTCAGTGCTGTTGAGGATCCTTTCTTGTGTCTGTTGGCCATCTGCCTGTCCTCTTTGGAAAAAATGTTTATCCAGGTCTTCTGCTTATTTTAAAATCAGGTTGTTTGTTTGATATTGAGGTGTATATGTTCTTTGTATATTAACCCCTTATCAGATATGTTATTTGCAAATGTCTTCTCCCATTCAGTAAGTGGCTTTTTCATTTTGTGGATAGTTTCCTTTGCTGTGCAAAAGTTTTTTTTTGCGGTACGCGGGCCTCTCACTGTTGTGGCCTCTGCCGTTGCGGAGCACAGGCTTCGGACACGCAGGCTCAGCGGCCATGGCTCACGGGCCCAGCCGCTCCGCGGCATGTGGGATCTTTCCAGACCGGGACACGAACCCGCGTCCCCTGCATTGGCAGGGGGACTCTCAACCACTGCGCCACCAGGGAAGCCCTGCAAAAGCTTTTTAGTTTGATTAGGTCTCATTTGTTTGCTTTTGCTTTTGTTTCCCTTGCCTGAGGAGGCATATAGCTGAGACTGGTGTCAAAGAGCTAACTGCCTATTTTTTCTCCTAGGAGTTTTATGGTTTTAGGTCTTATATTTAAGTCTTTAATCTGTTTTGAGTTTATTTTTGTTCATGGAGTGAGAAAGTAGTCCAGTTTGATTCTTTTGCATGTGTCACTGTCCAGTTTTTCCAACACCATTTATTAAAGAGGCTGTCTTGGGCTTCCCTGGTGGCGCAGTGGTTAAGAATCCGCCTGCCAATGCAGGGGACACGGGTTTGAGCCCTGGTCTGGGAAGATCCCACATGCCGTGGAGCAACTAAGCCCATGCACCACAACTACTGAGCCTGCACTCTAGAGCCCGCAAGCCACAACTACTGAGCCCGCATGCCACAACTACTGAAGCCCGTGCTCCTAGAGCCCATGCTCTGCAACAAGAGAAGCACCGCAAGGAGAAGCCCCTGCACCGCAATGAAGAGTAGCCCCCGCTCACCACAACTAGAGAAAGCCTGTGCACAGCAATGAAGACCCAAAGCAGCCAAAAATAAATAAAATAAATGAATTTATTAAAAAAAAAAAAGAGGCTGTCTTTTCTCCATTGTATATTTTTGCCTCCTTTGTCATAGATTGACCATAAATGCATGGGTTTATTTAGGGGTTCTCTGTTCTGTTCCATTTGTCTTTGTGTCTGTTTTTATGTCAGTACTGTAGCTTTGTAGTATAGCTTGAAATGAGGGAGCATGATACTCCAGCTTTGATCTTCTTTCTCAAGATTGTTTTGGCTGTTCAGGGTCTTTTGTGTTTTCATACAATTTTTATTTTATTTTATTTTATTTTTTTGCAGTACGTGGGCCTCTCACTCTTGTGGCCTCTCCCGTTGCGGAGCACAGGCTCCGGACATGCAGGCTCAGCGGCCATGGCTCACGGGCCCAGCCATTCCGCGGCATGTGGGATCTTCCTGGATCGGGGCACGAACACCGTGTCCCCTGCATCGGCAGGCGGACTCTCAACCACTGCGCCACCAGGGAAGCCCAAATTTTATTTTATTTTTTCCTCATTTCATTGATTGATTGATTGATTGATTGAAGTATAGTTGATTTACAATATTGTATTAGTTTCAGGTGTACAGCAAAGTGATTCAGTTATATATATATATATATATATATACTTTTTTTTCCTGGTTCTTTTACATTATAGGTTATTACAAGGTATTGAATATAGTTCGCTGTACTATACAGTAAATCCTTGTTGTTTATCTATTTTACATATAGTGGTGTGTATCTATTAATCCCATGCTCCTAATTTATCCCTCCTCCACCTTTTTCCCCTTTGGTAACCATAAGTTTGTTTTCTATGTCTGTGAGTCTGTTTCTGTTTTGTAAATAAGCTCATTTGTATTGTTTTTTCGATTCCACATCTAAGTGGTATAATATAATATTTGTCTTTCTCTGTCTGGCTTACTTCATTGATTATGATAATCTCTAGGTCCATCCATTTGCTGCAAATGGCAATATTTCATTTTTTTCCATACAAATTTTAGAATTATTTGTTCTAGTTCTGTGAAAAATGCCATTGGTATTTTGATAGGGATTGCAGTGAATCTGTAGACTGCATGGTACATCTTTCCATTTGTTTATGTTGTCTTCAATTTCTTTCATCAAAGTCTTGTAGTTGTCCAAGTATAGTCTTTTACCTCCTTGGTAAGATTTGTTTCTAGGTATTTTATTCTTTTTAAAGCATTTGTAAATGGGATTGTTTTCGTAATTCACTTTCTGATAGTTCTTTGTTACTGTACAAAATGCAAAAGATTTCTCTATATTAATTTTGTATTCTGCAACTTTATTGAATTCATTTATTAGTTTTAATAGTTTTTGGGGTGTGTGTGTAGGAGTTTCTATATATAGTATCATGCCATCTGCAAACAGTGACAGTTTTACTTCTTCCTTTCCAATTTGAATTCCTCTTATTTCTTTTTCTTGTCTGATTTCTCTGGCTAGGACTTCCAATACTGTGTTGAATAAAAATGGACAGAGTAGGCATCCTTGTCTTGTTCCTGATCTTTGAGGAAATTCTTTCAGCTTTTCACCATTGAGTATTATGTTAACTGTGGGCTTGTCATATATGGCCTTATATTAAGTTGAGGTATGTTCCCTCTACACCCACTTTGTTGAGATGTTGAATTTTGTCAAAAGGTATTTCTGCATCTATTGAGATGATCGTATGGTATTTATTCTTCAATTTGTTAATGTGCTGTATCACATTGATTGATATTGAACCATTGTTGTATCTCTGGAACAAATCCCACTTGATCATGGTGTATGATCCATTTAATATATTGTTGTATTCAGTTTGCTAATTTTGTTGAGGATTTTCACATCTATGTTCATCACTGATATTGGCCTATAAATTTCCCTTTTTGTGATGTCTCTATCTGGTTTTCATATCAGGGTGATGCTGGCATCATAGATGGGTTCAGAAGCATTCCTTCCTCTGCAATTTTCTGGAAAAATTTGAGAAGGATAGGCTTAGCTCTTCTTGAAATATTTGGTCAAATTCACCTGTGACGCCATCTGCTCCTGAACTTTTGCTTGTTGGGAGGGTTTTTTTTGTTTTTCTTTAAATTACTGATTCAATTTTATTACTGGTAACTGTTCTGTTCAGATTTTCTTCTTCTTCCTGATTCAGTCTTGGGGGATTATATGTTTCTAGGAATTTATCCATTTCTTCTAGGTTGTCCATTTTATTGGCATATAATTATTTATAGTAATCTCTTATAATCCTTTGTGTTTCTGTGGTGTCAAGTGTAACTTCTAATTCGTTTCTGATTTTATTTATTTGGGCCCTCTCTTTTTCTCTTGATGAGTCTGGCTAATGGTTTATTGATTTTGTTTATGTTTTCAAAGAACGAGCTCTTAATTTCATTAATCTTTTTTTATTGCTTTTTAAGTCTCTATTTCATTTATTTCTGTTCTGATCTTTATTATTTCTTTTATTCTACTAACTTTAGATATTTTTTTTTCTTTTTCTAATTCCTTAGGAGTAAGGTTAGATTGTTTATTTGAGATTTTCCTTGTTTCCTGAGGTAGGCTAATGTTGCTATAAACTTCCCTCTTAGAACTGCTTTTGCTGCATCCCATTGATTTTGGATCATTGTGTTTCCATTTTCATTTGTCTCTGGGTATTTTTTGATTTCCTCTTTAATTTCTTCAGTGACTTATTTGTTGTTTATGTGCATGTTGGGTGTATTTTTGGCAATTTTTATGTTTATGTTTTTGGCAGTTTTTTTCTTGTAGTTGATTTTTCCTATCATTATGGTCAGAAAAGATGTTTGATATGATTTCAATCTTCTTAAATTTATTGTAACATATATTATATAATATATATATGATTTTTTTTGGCCATGCTCTGTGGCTTGTGAGATCTTAGTTCCCCGACCAGGGATCAAACCTGTGCCCCCTGCAGTGGAAACGCTGAGTCCTAACCATTGGACCTCCAGGGAATTCCCTATATATGATTATTTTAAGTTGATGGTCTCTTAAGTTCGAATGCATTCTGATAATCCTGCATTTCCACTCCTGCACCCCCACCATATTTAATGTTGTTAACATCATATTTTATATCTTTTTGTTTTGTGTATCCCTCAACTACTTATTGTGGAGGTAGATGATTGTACCACTTTTGTCTTTTGGTCCACTACCTTACTGTATATTTGCTTTTACCAATGAGCTTTTTCCTTCTGTGATTTTCATATTTCCAGTTGTGGTCTTTTTTTTCCCACTTAGAGACGTCCTTTTAAATTTTCTTGTAAAGCTTGTTCAGTGGTAGCTCTTTTAGTTTTTCCATGTCTGTAAAACTCTTTTTCTTTCCCTCAAATCTGAATGATAGCTTTGTGGAGTAGAGTATTCATGGTTGTAGGTTTTTTCCTTTCACCACTTTGAACATATCATGCCCACTCCCTTCTGGTCTGCAAAGTTTCTGCTGAAATGTCAGCTGATAGCCTTATGAGAGTTTCCTTGTACATAGCAAGTTGCTTTTCACTTGCTGCTTTTAGGATCCTCTTTTGATCTTTATTATTTTTTTTTTCTTTAAATTTTTATTGGAGTATACTCTTTTTAAAAAATATTTATTTAAATTTTATTTTTGGCTGCATCGGGTCTTAGTTGCAGCATGCGGGATCTTCCATTGCGGCATGTGGGCTCCTCACTGCGCCAGGTGGGCTTCTCTTTAGTTGCAGTGTGCAGGCTCCAGAGCGTGCAGGCTCCAGAGCGCATGAGCTCAGTAGTTGCGGTGCACGGGCTCTCTAGTTGTGGCCCATGTGCTCAGTAGTTATGGTGCACGGGCTTAGTTGCCCCGTGGCATGAGGGATCTTAGTTCCCTGACCAGGGATTGAACCCACATCCCCTGCATTGGGAGGCAGATTCTTAACCACTGGACCACCAGGGAAGTCCCTGGAGTATAGTCTTTATCTTTAATTTTTGGCATTTTAATTATGTCTCGGTGGAGACCTTTCTGGGTTCATCTTGTTTGGGACTCTGTGCTTTCTGTATCTGGATGTCTGTTTCCTTTCCCAGGTTAGTGAAGTTTCAACTATTATTTCTTCAGATAAGTTCTCTGACCCTTTATTTCACTCTTCTCTTTCTGGGACCTCTGCAATGTGAATGTTAGTATGCTTGATGTTGTCCCAGAGGTCTCTTTAGTATGCTTGATGTTGTCCCAGAGGTCTCTTAAACTACCCTCATTTAAAAAAACTCTTTTTCCTTTTTTATGTTCAGCTTGGGTGATTTCCATTCCTCTGTCTTCCAGTTTGTGGATCCATTCCTGTGTATCACCTAATTTACTGTTGATTCCTTCTAGCGTATTTTTTATTTCAGTTTTTGCATTCTTCAGCTCTGTTTGGTTCTTCTTTATATTTTTAAACTCTTTCTTAAACTTCTCATTGTATTCCTCCAATTTTCTCCTGAGTTTGTTGAGCATCTTTTTTTTTTTTTTTTTTGCGGAACGTGGGCGTCTCACTGTTGTGGCCTCTCCCGTTGCAGAGCACAGGCTCCGGACGCGCAGGCTCAGCAGCCATGGCTCACGGGCCTAGCCGCTCCGCGGCATG